TGCCCCGCCCTGCTCCGCGCCCTCTTCATCACCCCCCTTCGCCCTCCACATCCCTCCGCCACGGCTTTGACCGAAATAGCGCAGGCGGGCTCCACCATGTTATTCCAGCAGGTCCCCGCGGAAATTTATCATCAAGGTTAAACCCGCTTTGGGGCCTGCGCGGGGACAGTTCTGCCAAACTTCGCGCCACGCTGACAAAACTTGCCGGTGTTAATTAAAGACATATTGTCTGTAGAATTTTCATTTAAAAATTTATCCTTTACGACTGGTTTTTAAAAATAAGAAAGTAAAATTAGTTTGGAGGAACACGCTGATTCAGCCTTTTTCCCTTCGACCCTCTCTCTTTCTTCATCGGGAAATCCATTTATAAAATTGTTGAAAGGGTTAGTCAGGGACGACATTGGTGGGACGCGATGGAACGCACCTGGCCCCGGTCCCGCGCAGATTAGTCAGATCCAGGAGGAGCAGCGTCATATTTCCACTGTCTGCCGGTGGTATCACTGACACTGACAAATGGCTGATGTGCGGGACGTGGCCGGGCGTGGCGGGGCGTGGTGGGGCGTGGCGGCGCCTGACGCGTGGCGTGACGCGGTCGGGTAACCCCTCTAGCATGTTGCTGATGCGAGGGTCGAGATTGCGTCTGGCCGCAAACCCACCTGGCAGGGTGGTTAAAGGAGACGGGGGCTGCGGGTCGGCCGTCGAAGGGTGGGGCGCCAACAGGTCGACTACTACTACGGTCTCGGCTGCTCTCTCTCTCTCGCGCTCTCTCTCTCTCTCTCTCTCTCTCTCTCTCTCTCTCTCTCTCTCTCTCTCTCGTTCTCTCTCCTCCCTCTCTCATGTCACGTTCGTGTCGGTCACGTAACAGAGTGGATGACATGATGCTCTGGCGTGACGTCACGCGCCGTGCCTTTCATTACGGGACTGTGCAGCGCCCCTCGTCCAACTAGCCGGCCGACGGGCGACGGGCGTAAAAAATAAAATAAAAAAATAAAAATACACACAAACTTTTTGGACGAGGTGGTGGCTTTAAAGATGGCTTTGGTATGAGTAGGAAAAGCTGCTTCCATGCCAGTGAGCGGCAGCAGCAGCAGCGGAAAACAACATTATCAAGAGACGGCAACGAGGTTTTGTGCGATTCCCCGGTCGGGGCCATTTTTCTTGGCGTCGCCGACGCCAGACAGCACCTGCTACCCGCTGGGGCGCGGCAGTAGCTGATGGAGGCGCGCGAGCGCACGAATGTGAAGGAGGCCCGCGGAGGGGCACCAAGGCGGAACGGAATAACGAGAAGCACGAGCAAGAGAGGCAGACAGAGAGAGAGAGGGAGGGGGACGGAGAGAGGGGAACAGAGAGAGGCTACAGGAGGACAAGCGGCTGTTTGTTGATCGATACCCGACCCGACCCGCGCCGAGGGGGTAGCGTAGCGCAGGTGGTGTAATCGCATTGTTAGCGAGCAGGACGGCCTTGCAGCTGGAGCCTCGCCACAGCTGGTGCTTCTTCAGCTGGCGCTCGTGGCGCTCCCTGCAGCTTGCAGCTGCGCCGCCACATTGGGCCGGCCGAGGTCGGGAGGGTCACCTCGACAGCAGACCCCCTCCCCCACCCTCTTCTCACTTTGAGCGTAATCAGAGAGGGTGGGCTCTTAAAGAGTCCAGGGGTTCCCATAGACAACTGAGGGAGAGGGCGGAGGTGAAGGGCGGCTATTCAGATGAGCAGAAAAGGCGGGGACAGGAGCGGACCAAAAATATGAAAAACAGAAAGAACACAGGAGGTGGGAGAGAAAGAGAGACCATCTATCTCACGAACAGGTAGTTAGGGCGGGCGGAGTGCCGGGGGGTGATGCCTCGAGCTGCCATACAGCCGCTGGGGGAGCCGGAGACGTGCGGTGCTGCTGCCGAGCTGCTCCCGAGCTGCTGCCCCGCCCCACCCCGCCCCGCTGGGGTGTTCCTCGCTGCCCCACGCTGTTGTTTTATCCGCTGGGTTATTCAGACCGTGCCGTGGAAGAGAGACGCGGGCTGCCCACCCTGCAGCGTCCACCTCACGGAGAACAGCAACACCGCTCGTAGAAAAATGTTTTCAGAAAATATTTCGAATTTACACACATATTTGCGCAAAAGCACGTAAAAGCACACAAATGTAATTGCATGTGTAGTTTTAGGAAGTAAACGTGCGCGTGCGCGTGCGCGTGATGTCGCAGGATACATAAAGTATGCATGTGGATGTGGCGGAGTGTAGGGTCACGCTCGCCGTGCGCTTGTGTGCACGCCCACCACACCGGTGCCCCGCGGGCATCGCTAAAATGTAATGACCACGCCACTCGCCGCTCTCCTCCGCATCCAAACACGCAACACACACACACACACACACACACACAAACACCGTAACTGAAAATTACAATTTCTTAAAAACTGTTCGTAGAGATCTAGCTGTCACCGAAAATGTAAAGGAATAAGGGCCGCAGAGAGTGGGCAGAGTACATTACAAAAACGCATTCTGCCAGAGGACTGGTACATCATACGATGAGTTTTATGCATAAAAGTCGACCAATTGGTGTGAAGGGGGTCACAATTATTTATTCCAGTCATGCCAGTGTTCCTAGTGTCGCCGCACCACGCGTGCAAACGCCATCATCTCTGCCCTTTTAGCGTTGCAAATCAACTGTGTTTCAGACCTATAACCTTCTCTGTGTTCCTGACTCTTGGCCTCCAACGGATGGGGAACGCTCAGGCACGCCCGCGCGCGCGCACACACACAGCAGAGCAAAAATGTTGCGCGGCCGCGTGGCCGTAAAACAGCCAGCGTCCGGCTGCATGACCTATTGATGGGCCTCGATGATTTATAGAGGTGTATAGCGTGCGGGGGCTGGCGGGGCGGGCAGGTCGATGTGGCACGCCTCGCCACGCCAACGTCCGGACCAAAACTTTTACAACGGCGACACCTCTCTCTCTCCCTCTCGCCCGTTACGACCCCCCCCCTTCCCCACGGGCCCAGGCGGGTCGTCTGTTATCGTACCTGTAACGACGCCGCCGATCTCGATCGTGTGAGTTCTACCCGCTTGTGTGTGAGCGAGTTTCTCTCTCTCTAGCTCCCCCCCCCCCCCTCTCTCTGTCTCGCTCGCTTCGTTCCGGTCGGCGGGTGTGCGGTGTGCGAGCCCCATATATACTCCTCCCAGGCGGACGGCGATCCCCGTGAAATATTGATTGCTACTCAACATGGAGACGGGCCGCGCCGGCAAACTTCCGTAGGCCCCCCGGTCATCCGCCCCCACCCTGCCCGTCGAACATCGCCCCGCCCCGCCCATCAGCCGCAGGGGCCACGGCCAGGCCGCCTGGTGTTGATAGCGCGCAGCGTGATGGCGGTCGCGGTGGATGTGCCCCATCTGCAACAGGCTGCCGAGCGGGAAGGGCCGTCCGAAGCTCACCGCAACTCTCCCCCTCCCCTCCCTCCGCTTGGGATAGGGTGCGTTGAGCAACTAACTCGCTGCAAGCGCGGTGTGCGCGGAGCCAAAGAGCCAAAGAGAAGCGTGCACGTCGAGCGCATAGTTGAGTGCGTATAAACGCTGTACGGCGTGCACTGAGTCGGCCGCACAAGCACACGGCGCTCTGACGCCAAACTTGTTTGCCTTCATCGGGAGCCTCTCTCTCTCTTTCTCTCTCTATCTCTCTCTCTCCCACTCTCTCTCTCACTCAGCTTGCCTCGCATGCCTTCTGCCTCCCCAATCCCCAACAACTCCAGCAGCAGCAGCCTCTCCCGCGCTCAAAATCGCGCGCCGAGCGCCGAACTCCGAGTGGCCTCATTGTCCCCTCTGAGCGCGCCCCGCCCCGCCCCACCCCCACTGTGCATGAAGTGCTATAGCATAGCCCTCTGGCTGGACGCTCGCTAATCCCCATTCTGTTTGGCCGCTCGCCCCGCGGGCCTTCAGATGTAAATCTGCCGCGCCCCGCCCCGCCCCACCGGAGCAGGTGTCCACACCGAGCGACACATTAACACATGAATGCGTAATGCCGGCTTCATCCTTCTCGCAGACTCGTCTCCGTCTCAGACATTTTTCAGATATTTGCATGACGTCGGGTCGTGGGGGGCGGCGGGGGCAGCGCCTCACCTATACTCGCAGCACGCTTCCGCCGACGCCATCGTTGCTCCCCATTCCATATTTTTAAAAAATTGTATACCTTCTTCACAGACATTTTTAATTAATTTGCCTCAGTTTCGGTGACACTGGGCGAGGGCCGCACTTCCCTGCAAGCGGGGCAAGAAGGTGCGGACAGCGGGCAAGAGGAGTGAGTGAATGGAGGAGAGAGAGAGAAAGAGAGAGATAGAGAGGGGGAGAGAGAGAGAGAAAGAGAGAGTCAGGAGAGGCATCACCCGCTCCGTCGCCGCCGACATAAGCAACCGCTTCTCGCTGCGATATAACGAACGTTACCAAGTATTTTAATTTACCTCACGATTCTAATGAGCTGCCCGATCGAATTTGCTGATGGGACGTAATTGCGTTCCCAAGTGAATCCCTCCACCTCCTCCTCCCCCGCGCCACCGCCTGACAGAGACGCCTTCGGGCAGGTCGCA